ACATGCACAGAAGGCTCGTCTTTGGACATCAAACTGACTTTTTTCTTTAGGTGTTTTCCCACCTAAAATCTGACCATGGCCACGGGTATTTATCTTAAAAAAATCTCATGCCACTTTCCAGTTTCAGCCTCTTGCATCACCCCCTCCTCCCCATGAACAGAGAGTCTACCTTTATGAGATCCGACTGCTGAAAAATGTGTGATTGTTTGTCATCAAAGGGAATGGGCACTTCTTATTTCTGCTCCGAACTGAATCATGCAAACTTTACTTGTATGCTTCTCTGGTGTTGTGTCCCTAAATGACCCGACTCATATTTATGTGCCTTATAAAAAAAATGTTTGTAGCGCGAGTCGAGTCTTGTTTAAGAAAATGTTCACGGTGCCAGCTCAATCCAGCATACATACTCCAGGATATGGAATCTGCTGTGAGATGCTCGACTGTCAGAGGAGCCTGTCAGCAGCCGCAGTTTCTGGCTGTTTACCAGCCTGTCCTTTATGATGGACTGTGGATTGCTGCCAACACCAGATAGTTTCCTCCCAAAAGTAAAATCCCTGGCATGCACTGAAAGTAAAAATTACAGTGAAGGAGACACTTTCTTCTTAATGACCTTTGAGAAAGTCTTAGCAAGCTCCGACTTTAATTACTTTCTGGATAAAAGCAGAGTAATGGCCTTTTCTTTCCCTTTCTTTAGAAAAAAAAGAAAAAAAAACTTTTTAAAACTGCTCTAATTAATACGACACCTTACTTTCTAACAATGTAACTAACTGATAAATTGCAGGTAGACATGTTTGATCATTTCCTTGAATTGAAAGGTTCTTAAAATTGAACAAGTTTAATAATTTTTAAAGAATTTTGCTTTCCATTTAGATGCTGCCCACTGTACACCATATATGCTCTCTTTAGAAGTACAGACTTTTCAGATCAACAGTAACTGACAGAAAATAATGATAATAGCATCCATACATATATTCATTTTGGCTGTTTTAAACTCTGCAAACCTAACAGTAACTGTGTGCTTTTGTCATGTCAGACCCCATTACATGTGACAGAAAATAGGATTTTGATGAATTACAAACACATAATAAATACATAATACATCATTCGAATGGTAATGTATCAAAGCCAAAAGAGTGCTGACAGATGGCAAGAATTACTGATAGTGTTAGTGATGGTGTTAGACGGGCAAAGGATTTCCTCTCTGCACTCATACGTGGTTTTTACAATGGCCACTGCTTTCATCGGATTGATGGATTGGACTCAAACTTTCAAAGTGCTGTGTGTAGGATTCAGCAACATCCTATGCTTTCCTATCCTATTCATATGCACATCTTTAAAACATGCATAACATCATTCTGTGGTCACAGAAGTAGGATGTATAAGAAAAAACAAGTTTTGCTTTTGCAAGTACCGCCATTCAAAATCCCCTGAGATGAACTACTGACTGAAAGAAACAAATCCTGTTTTTGTTTTAATAAACTTACAGGTGCTGTGGGTCAGCTCTCAGAAGCTGCTCTCACAATTCCAAGGTGTAGTGACGCATTAGATACTAATAAATGTGCTTTTCTTTCATTGTTTATCAAGCAAAAGGTATTTTAAATTGACAGTGAAATCTCTGAAGGACTACCATCCTATCCCCTGGTAGTCCCCTAGAGATTTATGTATAAGATCTATATATACACATACATATGATACAACATATTTTCAGTGTGAATTAATCTGAGGTTTGAGAACAAAGACAATAACTGAGATCCAAAATATTAAAAATGGGCAGATTTGAGTATGGGGGTTTGCATCAACAACACTCTGGGCTGAAATTTATTCTTAATGAGGCTCAGCACTACGAAAGACTAGTCCACATATGTCCAAAACTAACCATGAGCCTTCCCTGCCAGGCTAAAAACAGTTTGCAAAGACCTCTTTGTTAGAGTAGCAGGTTGCCTGAAGAGACCAACTCCGGCTGCAGAGTAAACCAGTTTCCTATCAACAACAACAACCTTTTCTGTGGACTGAAGATGGCTGCCGCCGAGCGAGCATCCCATTAAACTGGAACATGAAAGGTCTCTGGTGCTATTCTGTGTTGACAGCTATCAGAACTCCAATAACTCTGGCCTCTATCTCCTGCAAGCACAAAGGTACAAGAGCGCAGAAAATTCCTGGGTTCCTAAAAGCACCTTTCTGGTGTCTGGTTATCACATATTAAACTAAACATTTATTCTGGAGTGTGCTGTTTTCTTTTCATTGGTGTGACATCTGGCCCCATTCTGTCCAGGTTCTAACAATAATAATAATTTAAAAAAAAACTATCATACAAGCATTAAAGAGGAGATTTCTCACACATCATAATTAAAAATGACAAACATTTTGCCCGAAAGCAAAGATTAGATGAAAGAATGCGACGGATGCGGACTTTGACACACTGGAAGAATAATTCTCATGACTGTGGAGACCCAAGAGTTCCATAGAGGAAACAACATCCAGGCATTCATTCTCTCATCTGAGTCAGAACATTAGTGGCAACAGACCAGCTCTGCATCCTAACAACATCCTCCAGCTTCTCCTTTGGGATCACAATGCTTTCAAAGCAGGGGGATACATTGAGGGGGAACCTGGCCTGTCCCAGTGTTTCTGTGTTCCTGTCAATCACGCATAGTGCTTTTCCAGAAAGAGCCACCAGTGGGCTTCGCTTCGTTCAGTGATTGTTAAATGTTAACACCCACCGAACGCATGGATTCCCTCTAAGATTTGTGTTGTCGTGCTGTTACGGTCACAGTAAATCGGTGACTACGTGGTTTCGAATTCAAACACTCACAAATTAAAAAGGAAGCGCGTCTGTTGAAATGCAAATTGTGTCAGTCACAACAAAAACACACTGACATTTAAAAGTCTTCCAAGGCTCAAAGAGTTCAGGTGTATTGCGGTTAAATGCAATTCAATGATTGAATGAGAGAACATAAAATTATCACCGGAAAATCCAGTATTTCCAGCAAATATTTCCATTTTCAAGTACTAACAGCCCCACAATCGGTGGAAAATCTTAGGGGATAAACCAGAAATGCCAATCTGAGTTTCATTCTCCGAGGTACTATAAGCCCACTTTGAAACAAAATGTTGAGAAATTTCCCGCTGACACTCAATTTATTTCCAATTCTCTTGCAAAATTAGGTTTGGATTACATCCCCTTCACAAGGTCCAGGGCTGTATAACTTTCAAGTTTAGTTTGCCGGAGCATTTTTCATGAACCTCCAAATGCAGCTCTGCCTGCAGCACAACCCAAGGCCCCTGACTGCTCTGCTGTTTGGAGGTTGAGGGCGGTTAGGCTGCAAAAGCTCTGCAAAACTCACCTCTTTCAGTGTTCGGCACTCCTAAATTAATGGTTGGGATGGAAGGATCAGCCTGGTCACTGTAGTACTCTAAAAATAAAGCATCGTTTTCCCAAGTCTTCTTTATCACTGGAACTGAAGCAGAGGGGAAGAAATGAATACAGCACTAGCAAAGTTTCACAACAAGCAGAGATGTGACTTAATCCCTGAACATGTCTGATGTTTCTAGTCTGCTTTTAGTAAAATATTCATTTGATGAGGGAAAATGAATAAAGCAGGATACCGAGATGCTGTTCTGTGACTCATTTAATCCTTTCAAGTTGTTCAAAGATGTCATAAAACAATTTATTTGGAGTAGATGAGTTCTTATACTGTGCAATCTTTATATATTTAATACATTTTTGTGTTGCTTTCAGGGATTTCAAATGTACAATTTTCACTGTTACCTACAAAACAAATTTCAGTGGTCTCAGGGAAACATTTTGAGATGTCACTGTTTTAGCGTACTGTAGCTAATGGCTGTTCTCAACTCTGATAAATCAACATAAACAGTGTGCAATGCTAAACAATCACATATTGGAACAGAAACTGAAACACCTTCTCAAAAGCAGACAAGTAAACAAGAATGGCAATTACAGTTGAACATGAAGTAGTATTTAACAGTCGATTCCAAATTCAGTTATAATACAGACTGCAGCACAGAAAGCTATGCAAAGGGAAACATCATTTTGATCCGTACTGTAAATGTTAGCTGTAGTTCAGCCTGTCTCAGCTGTCACCGGGCAAGACGTGGAGCACGCTGTGCAGGTCACCGGTGTTTTAAGCTGGTCAAAGTATCCTATTAAAACGTATGCACCTGGACCTTTGGCAAATAAAATGCATCTATATTCTACCCTATTGTGGCATGGTGCCATAAGTAATATATGGATATATGTTTAACCCCGTTAACCACATTGAACATCACGTCTCTGAATTGACATATCGGTGTTCACTCTTGGTGTGCTAGAAAAAACAAGCACTGAGAATGTCCACATTTCTTAGGAAAAGTAGGAACACAAATTCATGATCTGAGAAAAAGCTATCACGTGTCCTCATATATCATTAAATACATAAATAAACAGAAAATGTCACTTTACTTTCCCCCCAAGACAGCTCTCTCCCAGACACAGTCCCACAGAAAGCAACACCCTCTGAAGCTCTTCTGGGCAAATATTGATATGGATTTAAGAATTTGAATATATCTTCAATGTTTAGTCGCTCTAGGTGCGCTAGCAATAGTGAGTGACGTTGGTTGTTTTGAGCAAGGCAAACACCAACCCCATGAAAGAACTGACTCTATATATTTGTGTTCTTGAGCCTTGTGTGCCTGTTTGTTTTAAGCTTGCTCTGGATATTTACTTCTGTTGTACAAGTCATTCTCATCCAGTAAATAAAGAGACAGGAAATAAACCAGTGTAACCTCCGTACAGCAGACTGTCATAGTGTGACTCATGTTTCACTTCATAGAGATTATTGTGATCCATGTTCACCTCTCTGTGTTCCACAGAAAAGATTTTAATTAGAACACTAAGGGAAACCACTTACTTGTCTCTTGCTCTATTGATCTATACGCTTACCTCTGATACACAAATCTAATAGTCATTTTTATCCTGCCTCCATTTGAAGGTGATAACAACAGTTTGGCACGGGAAATGGTAATTGAAGTCATTAGAAAAAAACGACTTTCAAGCAACTCCCCTTTTTATGTAGTGCACAAATTGTTTGATCATGTTGTAATTAATTTCACCATTTGATCTATTGACTTAACCTGGTCCATTTTCATCAGGTAAAAGAGAGGCAGATTTACTGTGAATAGCTTAATGTTGGTCAGACGGTGCCAGTAAGTGGTGTGCTTGTGCTTTTTGAGCGTGAAGTGAGACGCTGAATGAAGTACTTCACAGTATTTTATTTTTATCCTCATAATGAGGAAACCCTTTCAGTCTTGACAGTGGAATGAATTAATACCAGACCTTAAATTACAGTGGCATATGAATGAGTCAAAGTCACACATGTTAGAGGTAAAATCAATCCATTTCCAGTAAACAGCGGGACTAAAATGCAGATCTCTCAAAGGGAATACGGGTGACTGTGGGAGTGGGAGGGTGACTCACCTCGTTCACTGTGAAACTTCCCACACGTTTTCACAGCAACAAATATATCTTTTTTATGTACAGGCTCTCCCTGGGTGGAAAAAAAAACAGACGAATCCGAATGAATAAACCACATGCATCAAATATATTATAAACTGAATCTGAAATATACTGTGTGCGGCCAAAAGTGTTGAAATTCCGGTTTCGGGGAATTGGTAGGAACTGGTATCTTTATACTGAAAATCTCTGTGCAAATGCCCTGAGGTAACTGTG